ATGTGGGTGGGAAGAAAAATCACTTTCCATGGGTCAGCTGCAATCAGGGCTTGAACCAGCCTTTTCCTGTCATGTAACTAGTGGTTATGCAGCCAGAGTTATGGTTTTAAGAGGAAAAAAAACTAGGTAACAGCTGAACTCACTGTGTTTTTTCCTATCCAGGTAAAGGCCATGGCTTTTATTACCTTTAATTATCTTTTCTGTAGGGTAGTTTTGTTTCCAAAGCTTTTCATACAGGACCACTGTTTCACATCTTCATTATTGTGTGCCAAGGAGTATGACAGAGCCTTTAGATAGGGTTAGTCCACAACAGCAACATGAAGAGGTGATGCGCCTACTATACAAATGGGGAAACAGCCTCAGACAGAGTGATCCCAAGCCTGAATCATCGTAGTCCCCAACGGATGGTCTGCTCCTCACCTTGTAGTACACAACCCAGAAATGTGGGGGAAGTTGTGAAGCCAGGAAGAATGTTATTTGTGATGGTTTAAACTGGAGACCGGAGTCAAGCAGCAATAAAACAGAAGAGGGAACAGATCAGAGGGCTCCTTGGGAGGCAAAACCATAGAGTCCTGGTAATTATTTGGATCTCAAGTATCAAGTCTCAAGACAGACATTTGAGTCAACTTTAATGCCCCACAGCTTTGGGGCTTGGGCGACTGGGTAAGTGAGGCCCTCATGGAGATGGTGAACTGAAGAAGAGGAGACCTTCATGGAGATGGTGACTTGAGTGGGAAGACACTGAGTCACCTTTGGGACATATTGATATAGGTGCCCTAAGGACTTCTACGTGGTGGTGTCCACCAGGCATCTCAATCAGAACACATTTGATACACATTAGCAACGGCCGATGGCCACTGCAGACAATAAGATGGTCAGTACAGGGGATGAGCCTTGCTTGGCAGAGGAAACAGCCACCAAATAGCTCTCTTATCTGGAAAGGATTCTACAAAAACATTCCTGAGGACAGTTGGGTAGAATCCTGGACTCAGGAGTCTTAGGGATCATCTAGTCTAAAACTCACTTTGCAGATGAAGAATTTGGGGGCCGAGATGCCCCACGGGCCTTTTCCAGTGTTCCACAGCCAGTGCTGCCAGGACCAGCCCCAGGTCTCCAGGGTACCCCCATACTTCCTTCCAGCTCTTTCTCCCATTGGCTGGGATGGGTTAGAGTAAGGAAGCTGAAGGAATGGCCATATGGGAACAGGAACAGCAGAGGTGACAGGGCAAGGTGGAGAGAGCAAGGTTCAACTAGGCTTGAGCGCATGCATGGCTCCCACATGTCAGGGACAATCAAGCTGACAGAAAGAGCCTTCACAGAAACTTCCACCTCCTGCTCAGCCGTCCTCACAAATGCTGAGGGCAGCAGTGTTCTTAGAGAAGGGTTTAGGCCAGTGCCCCTCAAATTTATTTTGTTACGATTCTCCCAATACAATTGCCATTAATACACAACTAATCAAAGCATCACAGTTCTATTATATATTTTTATAAATATGCTTAAACACAATTCTCTTAATTAGATGAATGGGTTTTTAAAAATTAGTTCATGTATCCTAGAATGAAGCAGGATTCAGTATCAGTATTATTTCTATTTTTTATTTTTAGAATTGTAAATGTTAAGAAACCTTGATCAGACTAAGTAAGTTGGTGAGACTGAAAAGAGTTATGTTACAGTGATGTCACTTAATACTTGAGCTTCAGAGGTACAGGTCAAAAGTGTTTGTCATTGGAAATTATTTTGTATCAGCTGACATCTTGATTAAGCTCTTCTCTAAGGTTATTAAAGGGCAAAAAATTGGAAACCACTACATCTGCAAGAGACTTTTAACCTGGTCTTTTACTTGCTCAATACCTAGACCAATATTTCAAATTGTCCTTTTGGTTGGTATCCCTGAAGTTCTTTACACACCACGGCAACCTACCATAGCAAGATCATTGAAGGGTGGAGGAGTTGGCCTTTCTTCTGTAAAGAGGGAAAAAGCCTGATTGTGAAAAAGGAGATAAAAAAGCAGGCCCCCACCCTATGCCTAAACCCAGGTGGCTCGATTGTAGCAGAGTCAAAAGTAAAGAGTGATAGGAAGTGAGTCCTTTAAAACTATTGTTATTTGTATAAATTCTGGAAAATTCTCCAAAATGTGTGCCTCTGAGGCAGGGCAGGGACTAGTGAGGTGAGTGAGGTACTTACCTGGGGTACAATTTTAAAGTGACATCCCACAACTTTTGAATGCAACTTTTAAAAATCAAAATTAATGCCAAAAAATTTATGATAAGAAAAATACCAAATTTGAAAAATAAAGAGAAGATTGGAGGACAGGAGTACCCAGTCTGAAGTGTGCAAATCTCAGTTTTCCAAATACAAGAGAGGTCGAGGCTGATGAAAGGTGGGTAATGATTCTCTTGCCCACACTGCCACCTGCTGCTGGAAGCAGGCAATGATGGCCGCTGTCCCAGGGGCACCACCGCAGCTGCCTCGCCACCTGGTCCCATGCTCACACGCAGAGGCCTGGGTGCCCTCTTGTGGGCAGTCACACATTTCAGGAACTTTGAAACACCCGCCCCTGGTCACCTCCATCCTGCTAGAAAGCTACATGGGGGTAAAAAGAATCCAGGACTCCAAGTTACAAGACGTAGATTTGAGTCCCAGCTTTGTCTCTTGCTAGTTGGCCCATCTTGAACATTCCTCATCATCCTACTGAGTCTCAGTTTCTGCACTTACACCAAGGGATCACATCACCTCCTGCCATAATGGCTTAACTTCACAAGATGCTTTCTTTTTTTTTTTTTTTTTTTTTGAGTTGGAGTCTCACTCTGTCGTCCAGACTGGAGTGCAGTGGCTGCTCCCAGCCACCACAGCCTCGACCTGCTGGGCTCCGGCGATCCTTCCGCCTCAGCCTTCCGAGTAGCCGGAATTACAGGCATGCGCTACCACGCCCGGCTGATTTTTTTGATTTATTGTAGAGATGAGGTCTCGCTGCCCAGGCGGGTCTCGAACCCGCGGGCTCAGGCAATCCGCTCACCTCAGCCTCCCAAAGGCGCGGGATTACAGGCTGAGCCACCGAGCCTGGCTACAAGATGCTTTCTATGACAATGAGGAACAGACTGCCTGGTATGAGGTACATACACAGTTCATTACAAGCTGCCTCCCCCAAAGGCTCCATCCCCCTCGATCAAACTATCATTGGTTTATTACCAAATGAAAGATACTCTAAAAGACAGCTAGAGAGAGTCAGTACTCCAGAAGTCCAGACAGCGATGGCCATGGCCGATGGGTAAGGAGGATGTCTAGGAGGTGTCACTAGAGCTGGGCTTACAATGGATGGATGGTCCAGGTCATGCCGGGAGCTGGCTAGTAGCCTTTGGGGAACACTAGGCCATTTCACTGATGCTGTATTTCAGGAGCTCTCCAGTCACAAGAAGCAAGCATGGCAGTGCGGTGGAAAGGCCAGGGCCTTTGAATCAGCTCTGGGTTAGATCCTGGTTCCGTTACACACTAGCTTTGTGATAACTGAAAGTCACTGGACCTTCCTGAGCTTTGACTTCCTTTTCTGTAAATGGTAATAATAGCATGTCTCGTCTTGGGTGGGTAAGTTAAATAAGTCAACATATTTAAAGTTCACAATGGTCAGCTCAATAAGTGGCAGCTGTCATTGCTAAGATGGAGTAATGTGGGCCCCTGACTGACTTTCTGTGAAGAGCAGGAAGGAAGGGGACACACTGGTCACATGGTGGTGTCATATTTGGCTCCTGGACCAACTCCGGGGAAATGTTGAGGAAGGAGAGGAATGCGAATCTCCCCTGTGGGCTCCCCACTCTTGCCCACCCCCCAGCAGGACTCAGCAGGCCAGTGAATCCCAGAAATATAGCCTCAGCAGGAGGGGTGAGGTGGGGGATCCCCTTCTCCCCTGGAAGTGGGGTAGAGATGCTGCATTCCTACAGATGGTGGCGGATTCTACAGAGAAGGCTGGGACTTGAATAGGGGCCATAACTTAGACAACAATGTCATATCCGAGTTAATTTCCCGACTTTGATAACTGTGCTGTACTTATGCAGCAGGCCAGCATTCTCTCCCTCCCTTACCCTTCCTCCTCCCTCCCCTAATTCCTCCTCTTATTCCCATCCTCCTGTTGAGAATCTGTTCATGTTACAAAGAGTGCCCGGGTCACCTTCCTTCACCATCTCCCTTCTCGCCTCCTTGACCGAGGAGGGGGCTACGGGGTCTGGCTCCTGGAGTTCCCCTCCTTCAACACAAGAGGGGGATTTGGGACCGGGTTCCCAGAATCTCCTCCTTCAATTCGGGGGAGGCTTCAGGATTAGGCTCCTAGAATGCCCCCTTTAACTCGGAGGGTACTTTGGGGTCAGGCTTCTGAATCTCCCTCTTCAATACAGAGGGGGCTTTTGGGCCAAGCTCCAGGAATCTCCCCCTTGACCGTGGAGGGGGCTTCGGGACCAGGATCCCAGAACCTCTCCCTTGAACGTGGATGGGAATTTAGGGTCAGGCTCCCAGAATTTCCTCCCTGGCTGCAGAGAGGGCTTTGGAGCCAGGGTTCTGGAATTTCCCTCTTCGACATGGAGGGGGCTTTGGGGCCTGGCTCCCGGAATCTCCCCCTTTACCACGGAGGGGCTTGGGGTTAGGATGCTGGAATCTTCTTCAAGGCAGAGGGGTCATTGGAGTCAGGCTCCCAGAATGCCCTCCTTCAAGTCGGAAGGGAATTTGGGGCCAAACTCCTGGAATCTCCTCCTCCACCGCGGAGGGGGTTTGGGGGCCAGGTTCCTGAATCTCCTCCTTTACCAGGGAAGGGTCTTTGGGGTCAGGCTTCCGGAATCCCCTTCAAGTTGGCGGGGGCTTTGGGGCCAAGGTCCTGGAATCTCCTCCTTCACCGCGGAGGGGTCGTTGAGGCCAGGCTCCCGGCATCTTGCTCCCGGCATCTTCCTCAAGGCGGAGGAGGCTTTGGGGACAGGCTCCTGGAATCTCCTCCCTGCCTCCCTGCACAGACCGCAGCGCCTCCCGCGAAGCTGCACCAACTTTATTTGCGAAAGGAGGCTCCAAGCGCGACCTTCGCCCGGCTCCCACGACCCCGGCCCTCCCCAAGTCCCCTCCCCGCCGGCCCGGCCCTCTCAGCCCCACCCCCTCTGGCTACACGATCCCAAACTGGCAGATGTAGGGCAGCTGGTCGCGGCAGCGCTTGTCGAACCACTTGCCGTTGGCCGCGCCCGCCAGGGCAGCGCAGTTCTCGGCCTTGCCGCCATCCGGCTGCGCGGTGATCTCCGTCTCCCAGTTCTTGTAGGCGATGCGGCCGCCGGTCATGTCCACCCAGGTGCCCTCTGTCGCCATGTCGTTGAGGCCCAGCCAGATCTCGGCCTCGTTACCCACGCTCTGGCGCAGGTACTCGTACAGGGCGTCGTTCTCCGTGCCCGTGTGCGGCGTGCCGAGGGTGCCTCCGCGCGAGATGCAGTCCTCGCTGGCCTCGTGGAAGGTCTTCGTCTGGGTGAAGGCCAGGAAGCATTTCATGTGCACCTTGATGCCCTTCAGGCAGACTGGGAGGGGGAGAAATGGCTGTCACCGAAGGTCTGCCAGTCCCCAGGCCGAAGAGCCAGCTAACTGCCCAGTCTACTGTCCTCCATCCCACCCCGTTGAACTCTAGGTCCTGGACAACCCCTAGGACCAGGCGGGAGGGGCCCTGACCCTTGTCCCTCCTTTGAGCACCCTGCTGTGGTGGGCATTGCAGTGCAGGCCCAGATCCCCACTGGAAGTCTTGGTGCTTGCGCTGCTGGGAGCAAGGTCTACCTCGAGCTGCAGAAGTGCCCAGCCCACATCACACCCTTTCCCAGGCCTCCACCTCCAGCGCTAGAGGGGTGTGTGAAGGTGAAAGCCAAGGCAGGACAACTTGGGAGGGCCCCTTCAGTCTTGGGGCACCTGTGGGGTAGGCCTGCACCACAGCTCAGCCCTCCTTCTGCCGGCTCCAGCTTCCGTCCCCTCCCTCCACAGGTGTAGATCCCAGGCTCTCCCTAATAAATTAACTCCATCTCAGAGTCAGCTTCTCAGGGAGACTAGCCAGAATCAACTGTCCTGGTCCTCCTCTGGCTACACCCTTCTCTAAGATCAAACGAGGACAGGGCGCTTCTTCAGTGAATTCTTCAAGGGCTAGTCAGGTAGGACTGGGAGGAAGGAGGTGAGACAAGAGCCTTCAGACAGATGAGAAGACAGGAAGAACAGGGCACAGGCAGGGTGCCAGGGCTGATTTTCAGGCAGGGTATTCAGAAGTCCACGAGTTCTCAGTTTGAACCTGGCCTCAAAGGCTTGATGAAGGTACTTATGTGGTCGTATTAGGAGGATAGAGTGTGCTTTTGTTCATCAGTTTGGTTTTTTTTAGCTTGATTTCTAACTGAAATTTCTAGACATACTCTTTTCTCTCCAGATCATGTAAATCTTTCGCCCTTTACTAAAGATTTCCATGGGAAGAAATATCTAGACAGAGGGGGTGCATGTCTCCATTTGTCCTCTTACTGCTCACAATGCAAATGTTGGAGGCTCTGCCCTTCACTCCACCCTATCCCGGACACTCACCCGCTCACTCAGTTACTTCCATCCACTCAACAAATATCAATGGAGCAGTGTCTCCATGTCCCCACCTCTGAGGGCTCTCCACATAGGGCCTGAAGCATTACAGAGGCATCTGCCTGCAGGCTCTGTCCCAAGTCAACCACTCTACTTTGTGCTATCCTGCAGCTTAGCCAAGCAAACTTCATTGCCTTTCCTTCCTGGGACATGGTGACACACAGCCTAGACCCCTATTGGGAACAAAAGACTTACCCCTCTGGCTGGTAGGAGTGCTGCAGAAAGTCAGACCCCAGCCCCCTCTGAGGGCTACCTGCCTCAGCAGAAGCCAGCCCCCTTCTCCCAAGGCTGTTCCCCCACCCCCAGAGCAGCCTGCACCAGTGACTGACCAGTGAGCCCTCTTTCCCCAACACAGAACAACCCTGGTGGGGCATCCCATCATCAAGGGTCCCTCTGCCATTCACCGAGGCGTTCACAGAGCCCATAGTGCAGTTGGATTGCCTCCCTCTGCCCACTCCTGCTTCCCCTGGTCCCTTCCCTCCCACAGATGCTGATCCTGCTCCCTCTGATGACTTCCTGTGGGCCCTCTACTCAGACTGGCTTGCTGTGAGCCCTCCCGCAGCCCCCCACCAGCACGCTTGGTTCCTCCGGCAGTGCGCCTTATGATGCTATCATCGCTGCTCACGTTGTGTTGCCCAGGTCTAGTCACCATCCTGTTGATTCACACTAGGCCCCTCCATACCACTGCTCCTGTCCTGCTCTCTGACTAGACTCAGTCCCTCTTAATCTTCTGTAATTCCTACATGTCCTTTAAGGGCTCAGGTGATTCCCTGAATATACCGCAGCTCCCTGAGAGCAGGACTCTGGCCGGTCACCTCTGTCTCCTCATGTCTGGCAGAGACATGTCAGGCAGGTACCTCCCATGTGTGTGCTGGCTGGGGAAGGGAAGTGTCGCCTCCCCTGACCCCTGATTCCTCCACCCTTTGGTTAAGTCAACGGACCTCAGGGATGCCTTCGGGGGTTTGCCGACAAAGTAATCCATGGGTTGTGGTACTACAGAGAGAACATTAAGCAGGAAATCTCCCTCAGAAAGCCAGAAGGCTTCCTGGGAATCAGCAGACGTGGAGGAGGGGACTCTGGGCCTCCATATGTCATGAACTTCGTGCGGGGGGGAGGTCCTTTCTCTTTAACTCACCTCAAGGGGGCAAATGACACCTGGGTGACTTTGCACAGCACATAGCTTAGACATGAGAGAGACCTTAGAGCTATCCTTGCAAATCTACCCCATGCCTACTTTGCAGCTGAGGGAACTGAGAGCCCAGAGCGACACTGCTCTTTCTAAAAAGTCCCTCTGTGGCAGACAGTGTTGTTTCCCAACTCCCTTCTTCTTGTCCACCTCCATTATAGAAGCTGCAAAAGCTACATTCTTGCATTCTCGTGTGCTTTTAAAGCTATAGGTGACCATATGATTGAGTTCTGGTCAATAGGATGGAAGTGGAAGACTTACTTCCCTGATAAATGGGATTGATATGGCAGGACCACCCTTTCTCCTTTTTGCCCTGAATGCGCTCATAATGCCTGGAGTTGGGGCGGCCATCTTGGGACCATGAAGTGAAGTTTCTGAACAAAAGCTTACAGCTACCTATTTGCAGAGTCACTTTTTGTTTAAGCCACTGTTAGGTTTTCTATTACTTGAAGTCAAAAATATCTCTGGAGTTGCTCCCTTTCGAGAGGCCTCTTTTCCCACCTGCCATGTTAAAGCAAGCTACCCAAAGCCATGTGTTCATCCTTCCCTCAGTAAGATTTGCTGGGTTGATATGCGGCAGGTGCTTTGATGGGTAAGGTGGTGGGAGAGGCAAGGCAATTGAAAGCAAACGTGGCCCCTACAGTCTTAGTAGAGGAGGCAGACATAAATCAACATATATCATTACAAATATGATAAGCGTGATAAAAGAAAGCTCATTATTCTGCGAGAACTGATACCAGAGTATCTCTGATTGAGATGAGGGATTAGAGACTCCTGAGAAGGTGATACTAGAGGCATTTACCAGGTGGATCTTGGGGGAGCAATTCAGGCTGTCAGAACAGTGTGTGCAAAGGCCCTGTGGGATGGCCACTGTGAATGCTGAAGGAAAGGATCTGAGTGGAAGAGAGTGTGTAAAAACTGCCCAGTGAGAAGGATCTTGGATGTCTGAGGAGGCAGGAGGGGAGGGCCTTGCAGATGAGTGTGCCCTGGTCACAAGCGACAGATGAGAGGATAGCTGTGAGTGCAGGGAGATTTGTAGCTTTGCTAAGGAGGAATCAAGGTGATTTCCAGCTGACAACTTGAGAGGCAGCATCACAGAACTAAGAGAGGCTCTGCCCTGCAGCTTCCTCAGCTTCTCAGTGGACAGTGGGGGAGAGGACATTAGAGCAGGCCCATCGTGTAGGTGTGCTGTGAATTAGTTAACATGCATCAAGCACTGAAATAGTGCCAAGTGGGTAGCAAGCCCATGTGTCCATGGTAACCACGAGGGTGGGTCTGTGTTCCCCGTGGGATGGAGGGCAAGGTTATGTGGAGTAGGTGGGTCTGAGGCATGTGGAAAATGGACACAAACATGGTGGGAACATAGTGGAAAGGGGAGCTGGTTGGCAGGTCAGCTGGCCAGACAGTGCTGGGAGGTAGATGCAGCCTCATCGTGCCCCCAGGCCCACAGCTTTGTGGTTTTGTGTATCCTCACTCCGCTGGTTAGTGCAGAGCCAGGAACACCAGAGCCTGGCTGTCATGATACCCAGCGTGGCCTGGGGCAGGCTGCTTTTGTTCAAATTCTGCTCTGCCCCTAACCAACTAACTGACCGGGTAAACATGGGCCAGGTTCTGCACCTCTGTGCTTCAGCTCCCATCTTCTTTCTCTTTTTTTTTGTAGAGATGGTGTCTTGCTGTATTGCCCAGGCTGGTCTTGAACTCTGGCCTCAAGCAATCCTCCTGCCTTGGGAAAGTGCTGGAGCTACAGATGTGAGCCACCATGCCTGGCCAGTTGCCCTATCTTTAAAATGGGAGGGATCAATCCCTCCTCAGCATGGTAAGGGTGATTTAGAGAGACACACAGGGCTGTGAAGCTGCCTTGGACTGCAGGGGCTAGCTGAGTGGAGGAGATTCTGGCAACTTTGTTAGGGTGGGCCACTATTTCTGCCCCACAGAGTGTTCCAGGGGTCACGCTTCTGGTATGTGGTAACAGATTCTTGTTGAAGAGACTTTTATCCTCCTGGGATAGCTCCATTTCCACACCATCTAGTTGTGACCAGAGATTTGGCTGTGCACACCTGGGTAGATTTTACAGTCAGGGAATCTCTCCAAGAGGAAGCTGGCTGGGACTCCCTGTTTCCCTGGTGTCCTGCTTACAGGCCTGGTCTAACGGAGCTGGGTCCTGGTGCTGGCTAGAGGCGAGAGGCACTTTGCTGGCTGCTGACCTGGGCCCTTCTCTCAGGCGCCCCAGCCCAGAGAGGCCAAGACCTGCACTCACCCGTCTGCAGAGCCTGCTGCTCCTTCAGCAGGGCCACCTCCTGGGCCAGGTTGTCCAGCCGGCTCTTGATCTCCTCAAGCATCTTCGGGCCCACAGCATCTAGGATGAAGCAGGAAGAAATATGTGAGGAAGACAGTAGAGTAGAAGTTGGGGTGGGGCAGGGACTGGGCAGGGAGGACTCTACCGCCACAAAGGGACAAGATATCAACGTGACAGCTTGGGATACTTCCTGGCCTCAAGCAATCCTCCCACCTTGGCCTCTCAAAGTGCTGAGATTATAGGTGTGAGCCACCATGCCTGGCTAGTTGCCCTATCTTTAAAATGGGGAGGATCAATCCCTCCTCAGCATGGTAAGGATGATTTAGAGAGACACATAGGGCTGTGAAGCCCCCTGCCTAGGGCTGCAGAGGCTAACTGAGTGGAGGAGCTCCTGGGAAATTTGCTGTATTTCTGCTGGCAGTCACCTGATTAATCACTCGTGATTTTCCTTCTGCTGTGTGTGTGTGTGGGGGGCACCCTTAACTTGCTACTGCTGACATGAGCCCTGTGCTGTATTTGTGTAGGAGTTTTGCAGGGGAGTAGGTGGGGCTGGGATTAGCAGGGTTTGGGGCAGGGCGTGCAGGCAGACCCTTCAATGACCTCCAACTATCCAGCCACCCTCTCAGCTCCAGAGAACAGAGCACAGGCAGCAAGACCAGGAGCGCTCAAGAGCTCCAAGCTGGAGGAACAGGAGACAGAGCAGCAGGGCAGGCCCTCCAGTCAGAGGCCAGGGTGGCACAGTAAGCAAGCATGTGCCTAGGCTCAGAGAACCCACAGCCACAGGAGGCCTGGGTCAGCTGCTCAGCCTCTCTGAATGGTTTCCTCATGTACAAAGTGGAGGATAAAAGCCCCACCTCAGAGGATTTTGGAGGAGACAAAGAGAAACGAAGCAGGAGACCACCTAGCTCAGTGCTTGGCCAAGTGTGTGCCTATCATAGCCATCAAGAACGTGAAGGCAGGAGGAACCCAGGCTTGGCACTTTCATGGAGTGGGCCTGGCTCTGGGCTCAACCTTTCCATATGCCATCCCATGTGGTCTCATAACCAACCCTATGACCCTGGTAATATGCCTTCTACGCCACCACCATTTCACAGACGAGGAAACTGAGGCCAGCTTGAGGCAGCTCGCCTTTGATGGCAGAGCCAGCAGTTGGCAGGGTTGGCCTGAAGCCCATGTCCACACAGTTCCGAAGCTGTGCCCCTCCTCACCTTCACAACAGACTCCTAACACACAGACCCCTAACAGGTGCCGTCCTGCTGGGAACCAGTTATGTGGGAGTCACCAGGGCAAGTAAGGAAACATGTTTCTATGTGTGTGTAACTTGAGGGCTCCGGGAAATAGTGTTTCTGAAAGCCCAGGGCTTCAGGAAAGGCTGCACTCAGCTTGGCTTCATTCATTTGGCTGTGCCCCATGAATCCACATTTGTGAGGAGTGAGATCAGAACCTCTGTCCACCCATAAGGCGCCTTTGCAGGGGAATCACATACTTGTATGTGTAGAAATCAGGGCTGTAACTTATCAAATATGAGGAAAATAACCCCCAGATGAGCTAGACAAAAAAGGGAGGGTTTGGGCTGGCAAATCGCCTAGGGTTATGCGTGCCTCCCATAGGGCCTCTGCCTCATCTGGTTCACAGCAGCTCTGTACCCAGTCACATGATGCACCAGCATAGGGTACCATGAAAGGCTATGTAAGCTGGGCACTGCACAAGGGCAGTCTGCCGAGGGGACAAATGAAGGCTCGTGTCTAGCTCCTAAGCCTTGCCCTGGGTATGCTGGTCCAGAACAGAAAAAAAGGGTGCCTTTCTATAATTTATCAGTTCAGAAAGGGTTGCTTTTGTAATTTGCTCAGAGGTGCCCATATGTCCAAAGTGTCCTCCAGGGACTGGCCAAGGAGCAAGAAGCTAATAGAATTATTTTCAAGCAAAGAAGGTGTGGGAGTAGGAGGCGTCTCTACTGCCCTGGGTTAGTAGTCATGAGGTCCTTGTACTGCCCCTCTGTCTTTGACCCCCAGAATCCTGATGTGTGGTTATTGGAATGGATGTCCTCTGGATCCCCAGGTCCTGTTCTGAGGGCCTGTAATCCCTGTGAGGCCATCCTGCCTCTTGGTCTTCCCACCAGGTATGGCCATGTGACCCCAGGAACAGATGAGCTCCCGGAAGTTCTCTGGACTCATCCCACCTGGGGGCCAGGATGAGGGCTTGGCACAGGCTGTCCTTCCCTCCCTTTGCCAGACCTGCCAATGTGCTCTCCACCTCTTGGCCCAAGAACCAAGTGTTCTCCTTAGGCATGGCCATCTCTCCTCTGGACTTCCTCCCAATTTGGGGGCACCAGCCCTATCACTAGATTGTTCCTGGGATTCTCAATCCTGGCTGCTCCTAGGGATTCCTGGAGACTTGTGGAAAAGGCAGATGCCAGGACCTACCAAGATGCCTGAACCAGCATCTGTGGGACTGGGGCCCAGGCACCTGGATTTGAATGTATCCCCCAGATGATGCTGATACCTGATGAGAACCACCACCATTCATGTCCTGAGAGCAGGGATCACATTTCTCTGCTGTTGTGTCCAGCATATATATTGGTCTCTACATGGAGAAAGAGCACCACGTGCATTTGTTGTGTAAGTGGATGGAAGGAAGAAACCCTGAGCTGAGTTGGAACACTGAAGTGGGTTTTTGTGAGAGCCAGGGGCTGAAAGGCTGTTCTGCAGACTTCCAGAGCTCTAGCACTCCAGGGAGCCTTCCATGGAGCCCATGTAGGGTTTGAGCATAACAACTGGAGAGGACCAAGGCATCGTGGGCTCAGACCCTCTCTTTTTTTACATGCTTGAATCCAAGATTTGCATAATTGAATATATACTGAACCCGAGAAATAGGCAATTATTTTCTACACACAAAAATCCTATTATCTAGCCGGGCTCGGTGACTCAGCCTGTAATCCCGCACCTTTGGGAGGCTGAGGTGAGGGGATTGCCTGAGCCCGCGGGTTCGAGACCCGCCTGGGCAGAGCGACCTCATTTTTACAATAAATCAAAAAATCAGCCGGGTGTGGTAGCGCATGCCTGTAATTCCGGCTACTTGGAAGGTTAAGGCGGAAGGATCGCTGGAGCCCAGCAGGTCAAGGCTGCAGTGGCCGGGAGCAGCCACTGCACCCCAGTCTGGGTGACAGAGTGAGACTCCAACTCAAAAAAAAAAAAAAAAAAAAAAAAAAAATTCTATCATCTGCCTTTGGAGCTGCATCTTTTACAAAGAGTGTCCCTTGGTGGCAATTCTGACTAAGGCTCGTAGACATAACCATGCGCGGTATTGTCTTCTCTCTTTAAATGAATATTTTGCAGAAGGTAATATATGCATATCATTTTCTGAAATCCAAACAGTTCAAGTTAAAGTCTCTCTCCCAACTGAGACTGCCCCCAGAACCTTAGCTTTCCTTCCCAGAGGTAATCACTGTTACTAACTCTTGTGAATCCTTCCAGAAATAGTATATGCATATACAAGTAAATATGTATTCTTTTTTTTTTGAGTTGGAGTCTCACTCTGTCACCCAGATTGGAGCGCAGTGGCCGCTTCCGGCCACCACAGCCTCGACCTGCTGGGCTCCGGCAATCTTTCCGCCTCAGCCTTCCGAGTAGCC